CTCGAGCCACAGTTTTTCGGTGATGATGCAAGGGGCATCCAGATCTGTAAACGTGTGCAAACCATTTGGAAACCACCATCGCCGTCTGCGAAAAATCGAGCCAGAGAATGACGACCTAAGAAAGAGGGTGACGGCCCCGGTGACAAACATATATGAACAGATCTGGAAATATCCAACGAGGGTTTTTAGATCGAAGGTGTTCTGACGAAGAGGTCCATGTCGTCATTGAGATCTTCCAGCGACGACGATGGCAGTTTTTGGCGAAAATGGTGGCAGTTTCTAGCGGTGACAGTGGTTTCCGACAGTAGGGTTGGTTTACAACGAAGTATTAGAGAGAGAGTTTAGAGAGATGTGGGTAGGGTGAAGTTTGGGTGGATTATTAGGGGGTAGATTTATTTTTTTTCTTGTTTTTTTAAGTAAAAAAATAATAATAAGAAAAAAGAGAAAATCATATTAATAGGAGCAAATTCCTCATTTTGAAAAAAATCAAAACAAATTGGACCAAAAATGCAACAAAATGAAAGTTTTCGATCCCTGATGCTTGTCCAAACCTTTTTGGACCAAAGTGATAATTTTCAACATACCACAAAGACCATTCTTGCAGTTTTGTCTTAAATTTATGTGGTTCTATAACTTACATATAAAATGTAATTGATAAATTAAATACGTAATTATAAGAGAAACTTATGAATAGAATATCAATTGATTCATTTCCTCTAAACATAAATTATTTCTCTTTATATAAACACCGTAATCACATATGTGTTATCCATTAGACACCATTACAAAAAGTGAAACAAAATCATGAAATCGTCATCTTCTAGATTAAGGGATATCATGTTTTCCAAGTAAGTATTTTTCATTAGGTTTAAGGTTTATCAAGTTAATTTGAATTGATCCAATAATTATACCAATAAATCCAATAATAAAAGTCGGTAAGATGTTATAACTGATATATTGATATACATGAGATCCATTTTATAATTGGTAATATATTTCCTAAAATCATTATTAACCTTCATAACAATAACAATAATAGTTTTACGTTAAACAATAGGATTAGATAATATCAAAATGTCAAGTTATAGAATAAACTTGTCTTCAAAAGAATTGATTTTATCATATAAAAAGGTTTAGCGACGTAACTTGTTGTCCGTTTACCTTATCATTCGTTGTACGATGATAACTAAGATGTATTAACTTATTGTGATATCTATCATTTATCAAATGTCATACGACCTTTAAAAAATATTACTTTAAAAAATCAAGTTATTGAATAAACTTGTCATTTTATAAACCTGAAGGTCAAAATTCAAAATGATAGACAAGTAATTGGTTCTAGAGCAAAAAAAAATCATAATTTGTATATTTTTTAGGGATCACATTTATATATAAAAAATTTACACTAAATTTATGTTTGAAGGAAAAATTTAAAAATAGCTTGAGATATTTCGAACACTATAGCAGGTACGCTACTGAATGAATCAGTCACATGTGACATAAGTTTCATCTTTTATCTATTATTACATGCTATAATGACCAACTAATATTAAAATGTCAAGTAGTGAATGTCATACTCTTTTAAAATAAACTTCATTAGTAATGAGTAAGTGACAAACAATTTAGTGTTATAAATATGATACAAATTCTTTTTTTAGTATGCTAATCTTATTTGGACATCAATTAGGTTCAAAGAAAGGATGCTAGATATAGTAATTCAAAGGTCAAGTGTTGGAGGCGGCTTGTCATTAAAAAAAGACATGAGAATCAAATGGAAAGTAAACAAGGTTTTATTTTTATACAATACAATACACGTGGATTAATTAATAAAATATTCACCCAAGCTTTCTAAAAATGAAATGGTCTTTGGCCATTTAATGAAGACAATGTCCCAGGAAACATATTTTCAAAATAGACAGACTTTAGTATTGTAGGACATAATAATATAAGTCAACAATTGGTCCTGACAAAATCCATCCACATTCAGACAGGGTTATCATGTAGCTTAATGGACCCAAATATATTAAGTATGTCGAAAACATCTTTCTAATAACATTTAACAAGATGGTATTTTAGTAATTTATTTATTTATTTTTCAGTTTTTACATCTTTATCATTAATTTTATTATTTGTTATTATTTATCATAAATCCGTTTTAATTTTGAACATACGATATGTGAAAATATGAAGGATGTATAGGTATTCATTTTAGCTAGGGCTACATAGTAATTACTCGTTTATAGAACAATGTGAATTTAAATCAAGTTTTTATAAACTCAATCAGACTGACTAGACTAAGCTCGAACTCAGTTTTTTTGAGAAAATTTGAGACTAGTTTTTAAATGTAATGTCAATGTTAAGAAACAAAAGTAAAAAAAGTAAAAAAAAAAATAAAAAACCAAAGAAGAGAGAAAGAAAAAAAAAGGTGAAGTCAAATAGAGACTATTACGCGTAAATGAGATGATTGCTATGGGCTTTCCAGATTGTACCACACCAAAGTCCCGACCACCCAAACGAACCTTCTTGCTTCTTACATGTTAGTTGTTACCTGAATCTTTTTTTTTTTTTTTTTTTTTTTTTTTTTTTATTGATTTTAATATATACTCCATTTCAAAAAATTTAAAGAAAAATGCATAGTTTTTAAACAATGTTATTTTAACCAAAAGTTTTTAATAAAAAAATACCAAACAGTTACATATTACAAGTACTTTTGTAACAGATAAGACATTTTAAACTTATTTTGGTTGAGCTTAAAATACCTTAGTTTGTAGCAAATGATAGATTAATTTTTAATGTTGTGTGTTGGTATTCTTGTATATCAGTATCATTAAGGATTTTTTTTCTTCATGTCTTTTATATTTGGAGATCATTATCAATGTTTGACTTCTTTTATGTTAGCATTCATCATAAATACCAAATATTATATATTACAAGTAATTTTGTATCATATAAGACACTTTTAACTTGTTTTGGCTGAGCTTAAAATACCTTCATTTGTAGCAAATGATAGATTAATTCTTAATGTTGTGAGTTGGTATTCTTGTATATTAGTATCACTAAGGATTTTTTTTTCTTTATGTCTATTATGTTTGGAGATCATTATAAATGTTTGATTTCTTTTATGTTAGCATTCATCATAATTAAGGCATAATCTGTTTCACAATTAAGCTTCCACGCGAGTCTTTACAATAGGTCGTACTGGTTGAAGCTTGAAATTCCAAAAAGAAAAAGTATAACGATCCAACCTTGATATGCCGAAAAGGCGACAATATTACTAGTAATGATCATTTCGTTAAAATGCAAAAAGATATATTTATAATAAAAGATCACCACTTCATATCAATTCTTATGGTCATTTAAGTGAAATATCTCTAAGTATTTGATCCCCGACTCAATTTAACCTGCGTTAGCTTTTTATCTGAAACCGGCACCTGTGCTAACGAAAGGTACACGTCAACATCGCATGCTAAAAAAGAATCCGATTACAATAATTTCAAACACTTTCTCGAGTGGGAACTGACTACTCAAATTGAATATTTGCCAACCAATAACTTACCAAATTTGGTCTACGTGTGAAAATATAGTACGATCTAACCATTTATATGATACATTAAATTAAAATTTTAAACTACTAAAATTTATCATATTATTCTTCCCGTTATTATATTAATATTCCCCCTTTAAGATTTTCCGAAAAGAATATTTAAAAATATTAATATTCCCCCTTTAAGATTTTCCGAAAAGAATGTACTTTAAATGTGAAAATTTTACGTAATTCACTGTTGAATCGGATCTCCAAAAACTTTGTTGTCAATATATTCGCACGTTTAAACAAAAAAATGCAAATGAACCATGTATTCAAAATAGGAGGTGATATTTCCGTTTTGATTCATCCATATCAAAACATGTCTTTTGAATTTATACCCTTCATTTTAATTAGAAAAAGGAACGATAATGATGGTATAAAAAATAAAAACACTTTGTTTTACATTCAAAATACGATAGTTATTTGAAATGATATTTATCAAAATAACTATTATTCGAATTTACGTTTAACAAATATAATATTTTTGAACAAAAAACTTATAACCTAACGGTATCATGTTTTGGATATGCATCCTTCAACCAAAAATTTAAGGTCCAAGTCTTCTTGTAAACAAAAAGAATACTTTAAGAATCATGTATAGAATGAAAAAAGTATAAAATATCTTTGACTAAAATAACCATTAATTTCGCAATAGATCAAGTTATAAATTGCAAAAATTATTGTTGACCACGAAAAAACGAACAAAAACATCCTAAATGGTTTTTAGAGAAATTGGAGTATATCCCTATATTTTGTATTCGTAAAAACAATTTCAAAATTATAAAATAATTTTGAGAGAAATCAGTTTTTTTTGGAATAAATTTTCTCTAAAAAAACCATTTCATATATTTTGATTCCTTGTAATTTCTTTTCCTTTAAAATTTAAATACAATCTTCTTGTTGAAGAGCATCCCAAAGCAAAGACAAAATATGAGTATTGAAATGCGAATTGTCTTGTAACACTTAGAGATGGTTGAATCTTTGGTGATACTTGATTGTATTAGACAATAATATCTTTCTAAGTTAAATTATAATATAATATTGGATTAGACGTTTGTTTCATTAATATAGAAATGAGAATCTTAAATGAATTTATACTTATGAGAATATCAATTATATGAATAATATATATTTTTTTAATTAAATTATGAATTCATAGATCAGTTACATTATATCTTGTCTGGTCAGATTTTCTACAAAATTTATAAAAGAATATTGATTAGAAAATAACTCAAATTTTCATCAAACTTCAATTTTCCAAAAACAATGTGACAGTTCGTGTTGCTAAATGCTAATTATATGTACATAGACATGCATATTACGTACATTCTATCACCGGCCATTCTCTAATAACGTTATAAAATGAAAAAAAAAAAAAAAAAATTTAATCCACTGTTCAGGTCATCAGCGTCCACTAATTACTGACCACCGACAGGTCGCCGTAGTACTCGGCGATACCGGAAGCTGCCCACAACCTCTCATTAAACGAATCTTGCAAATCGTCAGGGATTAACGGAGTCCGGCAAAGCGGGCAAGTCTTCTGATCATGGTCCATCCACCGGTCCAGACAGCACCGGTGGAATACATGCCGGCAGTTCGATAACTGCCGGATCTCGTCACCGGCGTCAAACTCATACAGGCATACAGCGCAGCTCTCCGGTGGATCTACAAGCTCTGAAAATTTCACCACCGGAAGAATCTCACGGATGAGTACAGCGGACACTGACCGGAACTGATTAAACGAATCTATCCGGGTCGGGTCGATGGAAAACTCGGGTTCTAAGAAATCCCCGAGACCCATGACCTGAAAAATGGCGGAAATGAGCTTACGAATTAAGCCCATAAATGTTAGGACATGGATTAGAAGTTTGGGGAGGAAGAGCTCTGTGTACCCAACTGGGAACCCCATGATTACTTGGAGCTTTTCTCAATTACCCAGATCAAATTGTTGGGGATTTTGATGAATTCACAGATAGATATACGAATTTATAGAAACTTTTAATTTCTGCAAATCGATATTTGAGGAGTAGTAGGTGGAAACACGGTGACGTAGAGATAAGGTTGAAGGTGAAAGAAAGTTGTGTTGATGGTGACGATGGATGGAAAGAGAGTAGAAGAGACGGTTATGTTATGGCAGCGTGCCGTGAGATGTGTGCTGGTTATACTTTATATATAGAAGGGAAGGGAAGGGAAGGGAAGGGAAACGAAGGGGTGTTAAGTGTAATAAAGATAAAGTTAAAGGGGTTAAAGTAAATGACGAGGAAGTCCAGTACCATGATTGGATCGATGCCACGTTGGTTGAAACGATTGATTACAGTTTACACGTTAAGTCGCTCCTATTTTTTATTTGAGATAATCAACAAATAATCAAATATGTCTGAAAGAGTAAAAAGTATAATCAGTACTTAACTATTAAAAATTGTGTAATTTACTGTACTGCCAAACACAAAATTGATTTTAGATACTTATAAATAAGGTTAAGTTTGAAAATTAAAATTATGCCATAAATTATTGTATTTGAGTTTATTTGATTATTATACTTTATTAAAATTTTAAACGAGATTATTGAATTTATTTTTAATTGGTTTGGTTCTTATGAACTAACTTTTTTATTATTATTATTTAACAGATCGTTTTTATAACTTTTGTTTTTAATTTTGTTTCTATATTTTTTATAATTTGTTTTTACCATTTCATTTTTATTTTTTACATGTTTTCTCATGATTTTTTTTTATGAATTTTATCATTTTAATTTTACATGTCTTTTCACAATCCATTTTTACAGTTTTATGTTTTACATGTTTTTTCATAATCCATTTTATAATTCATTATAACTAAATGGCTCAAGTAGCAGGAGGCTACGAATTATGAAAAAACAAGTAAAATATTTTAAAAAAAATATATAATTTAGAAAAACAATTGTTAAAACATATAAAAACAAAACAAAAATAAAGTTGTAAAAACAAATTCTGAAAAACATATAAAATTAAATTGTGAAAAAACATGTAAATTAAAACGAATTTTAAAATACCATTTAAAAAGAAAATTGTAAAAATAAACCATTTTACGTAAAAACAAACTAAAAATTGAAGTTGTGAGCGACTTTATATGGCAAAAAAGTAGTTGAACTTAAATAATCCAAAAAATAAGTTTATTACCATTATATATCAAAATAAAAGCGTAAAAATTTGTCACAATGTTATTCGACTAAATTATTAAAAAAGGAAAAATGACTTATGAAGGTAACAAACTAATGGTTTTGTTCATGTTTTGTTTTTTATTTTATTTTTTTTAGTTTTTGTTGTAACAATCCAAAAACAGCGGTAAAAATTTGCATTTTAAGATCCAATAGTTTCATTCATCAATTAGTTAAAAACCATCACCAAAGGTAATATCAAATATCAGAATATAAATATCCAAAAAGTGTGGAAATCATAAGGGGAGGATGTTGTGACATCACGCTGGCCCTTCAATTTCGTACCGAAAGTACCTGAAACCATAAACATAAACTGTAAGCACAAGACTTAGTGAGTTCCATCAAAGTACCACATACCAAATATATAAATTGGGCCTAGCCCTGGGGTATATTCCAACTCGATAAACAAATATGGGCCCAACCCTGATGTAACATTCAGTTTTAAGGTGCATGATTTCGAGGTTTCTTTAGCTTTTGGATGAAGTCATGACGTGAGCAATGCCTCTCACGTCGTAAGCAAAGGTTGACCTGGTGACCCATATTCCTTAAATATCACGACGTAAGCCCTTGTTGCTCACGACGTGAGAGCGGTATGATGACCAAAACCCTAATTTTTTCGGTATTTAATGGAATGAGAGGGTTAGGGTTGTCTACCCTCAGCCTCCCTCACACTCTAAGCCTCTAGAAACCCTGATATCAATCATTCTTGAAGTCCTTAGTCATCTTTGGTGCATTTTCTAGCTTGAAGAAGGAGAGAAGAAGAGGAAAGAAGTGCTCTAGTGGTGGAGTGGGCAAAGTATCATCATCATCATCATCATCATCATCATCATCTCTTATTGCTGTTGGACCTTTGTAAGTATCAAAGGTTCAAACTTTATTGCATATTATGGATAGATCTAGGATTTTGTCCATATTTCTCTATGTTAAGCATTCTTGAGTAAAGAAAATCCATAAAGTTAGCAACTTTATGGATTCCAAGGGTTCCTTGACCATCATATTGTCCAGATCTGGAAGTTGGTGAGGTATAAGAGCCATGCATGAGAGTTTGATGCATATTTTTCCACCTTTTGACCAAGAATGGATTGGGTCATGCATGGTGCAAGCATGACCATAAATCAAACATTTTTATGGACCTTAGGGGTCCCCTTTAGCTTTTGGATGAAATAGATTCAATGACTTAATGGAATAAGGACTTAACACCTTGGCTTTTGGCTCCAGACTGAAGTCACGACATGAGATACAAGATCTCACGACGTGACAACGATTAACCCCGTAAATCGTTGAGTTCATGGAACTCACGATGTGACTCTGTGATCCCTACGTCATGAGCTCAGTCAAGTAGGAATCCATAATCGAGTTGTCTGAGTCTGGAGCGAGTTGTTGGAGTCGGACCTGGTGGACTCTCACGGCGTGACCAAGGACTGGTCACGACGTGAGACCCGATATTAGGGTTTTGTCCAATGGATTTGACTCGGTTGACTTTTGACTTTGACCAATTTTGACTTAGGGGTATTTTGAGTTGTAGCCTGAGTTTTGGTTACTATTATTTGTAAAGGTGACTGGTAGAGTTAGTTTCAGAGCGGCGTGTTGTTTCAGCTTATTATCCATCTATGAGGTGAGTTTTCTCACTGTATCCATGGGTCGAAGGCATCAATGCCGACCCATTACTTTGTTATGTAGGATGATAGTTGTTATGTGGCTTATATGTGTTTGCATGTTCGGGTTGAAATAAACCCGAGGACGGGGCCTACTAATGTATGTTCGGGTTGAAATAGACCCCAGGGTGGGGCCCACTATTGTATGATTGGGTTGAAAGATACCCCATGGCGGGGCCCATATGTGTTGATCGGGTTGAAATACACCCTAGGGCGAGGCCCGAGGCTTGGGCCCATATATACGTATCGGGTTGGAACATACCCCAAATTTAAGCCTAGTTGTATGATTGGTATGTGGTACTTTGGGGAACTCACTAAGCTTTATGCTTACAGTTTATGTTTATGGTTTCAGGTACTTCCGATTCGAAAGGTATCACACCCCCGAACCAGAACGACGGAAACGTCCGGGGGTTGGGTGACTTCATCTTGTAATATCATCACAGTGTATATAATTGAATAAAATACAACATCATCATCACACATTCAATAATACAACATACAGGGTTTTACATCATTGTATTTGTTTCACAAAAGTTACATGCCAAAATATTAAATGTATGATGGAGATTACAACAAAAGTCCACATGTCCTTGACGACCGACCTGCTTAACGAGTCCCTGAGAATACAAGTTATTTTGAAAACGGTCAACATATATAATGTTGGTGAGTTCATAAGCATGTTTGTAAGAAAAGTTTTGTATCATTTGTAAACTTCCAGAAAATCCGATATGTTCCGCAAAAATTGTTTGAGCGTTTTGTTTCAAATCTTGTATTATAGCATGTGTGTTCATATTTTGAAAGTG